TGACTTGAGGGACTGATAAAGAACAGAGAGGTTGGGCTTTTAACTGGAACTCAGGCTTCCTTAGTATACATCTAGATGCCACAGTGAGGCTTGATTAAAAGGAGATGGCTTCCCAGACCAGAAAATAGGACCCAGAGCATAGCCCTTAGTGCATACGGGACACACTTGGAAAGATGCCCACCCCCAGATGCATCCTGGGAACTTCTTGTCTAGCTCTCTGGCCTGGATCCATTTGCCCACTGTCTAGTACAACTCCCCTCTTCTGAATATGGATTGCGGTGTATTCTGCATGTCACTTTATTCACAGTTTGTCAAGTTGTGTGTAAACTGATCCAAAAGATGTAGCAGTATCCATTAAACTGCCTTAAGAAGAATGGGCCTGGGAGAATATATGTGGCAAAAAGGGTTATTCCCTGGACGTCTCCAAACAAGACCTGTCTTTGAGAATTGACCCCATCTCTGAAGCTTTTAGGAAGATTATATTCCCAGCCAGTGTCGGCTTCAGTGAGTGTAGCTGACCTTGGCTGAAGGTCGAAAATGACTTCTAAGAGACTGGGATGGTACAAAACACAAAGACTCACTTTTAGGATAATTAAAACTATTTTGAATTTTTTATTTTATCAATCTGGCTTCTAATATAATTTTAGATAAATGAAAGACATTCACAAAGAATAATAGGCATACATACATAATTTCCCTCTTTCATTCTAGTTTACATGCTGTTGCTTTTAGAGAGTGACATTTTGGGTCATTTCCCAGGGATGGAGCCCTTCCCCACTTTACAGAGAATCCTCAGCCCAGCTTCCCTCAGCTCTAACCTCTGCTGCAGTCGCCGTGCTCACTGAGAAAATTAGAAAAACTGGCAAAATAAAGCTTTGAGTCAGTGACACTGAGAAGTGCTTCTTGGCCTGCTTGGGAGGACTCCCCATTTTTCAGTCTCCCTGGAAGCCAGCAGTAATCTCTTGTAAATCAACCGAGCCCCGGGCACGGCGCAGACCCTTGAGCAGGCCGGTTCTTACCCCACACTTTCACCCGGAAGTGAAACTAAATGCAGGTCTTCCCATGTGCTCGTTTAGATCTTTATTACCTCTGCTAATCTTTGCTCCATGGGAGATATCAGACAACTTGTGCCCATGGTTCTCCTATTTCAGTGACGGTGAGTTTAGGTACAGCTGTACACGGAGCACAGAGTTTCCAACACCTCTAGGAAGGGTAAGTGTAGTACAGGCACAAAACCACCAGGCCACTTGAAAATGTCACTTTGATGTTTCTTGTTGGCTTGTTTATAAGCCTGTCTAATTGCATGAGGGGCATGTGTAAGGACAGGTAAGGTGAGCTGTAGGTCATGTCCAGGTGGGAATTCAGGGCTTTATGCATACAAAAAACATGCCAATTTCTCTGGCTTTTGGCTGGGTCGTGTCTCCCTGTGAGGACAGGTTGGTTCCCTGGAAATCTACTTGGTGAATAACTTAGCAACGCTCTGTAAGTTTCCACGTTCCCGGATGTGGCCACACTTTTGATATGATGTAGCAACCACAAGCCAGAAGGTCAGTCTCCTCCTAGGCTCCTCTGACCTTGGCCTTTGTATTTGGATTTTGAAGTATTCTCTAGTTAGCAGTCAGTAGCACCTCACAATTGTCTTATAACGTAGGCAAAACAGCTCTATCTTAAACACCAGGTGAAGGGGGACGGAAGTTCAACTGGGCCAGGGTCTCTTAGTGTGTGGGAGAGAGAAAGGCTTGGGACCCTACCAGCTGACTCTTGGGGTCCATTTTCACCAAAACATCTTTTTCAAAAATGTTCCCACTGACTTTTAGCCTCCCTCCACTGCAGGCACAGCTGTGGGTTTCTCACCTATTTCAGGATCAGGTGGTTCTCCTGGGAAGAGCAATTTTAGGACCTACGATTGGCTGGCTGACTCCAATTCACTTTAATAACTGCTGCTTTTCTTTTCGAAACTGCTTGATGGGATGGAAAAAGGGAAAGAAAAATGTTAAGAGGTGCACATCTGGTGTTACCTGTTGGAAGGCAGGCGAGGTAGAGGGACCACAAACGTTGAAGAAGATGATCGTGTGGTAGAGGGAGAAAACGAAGGAGACTAGAAAAGAACAGATCCTATCACAGAAGGAAATAGAAGTTTCTTCCTGATGCTTCCTAAAAACTTCATTTTTGTGTGGGCTGCCTGAAGTACCGTCTGGAGTTGGTGTCTGTGCTGAGCTCTCAGCCTACTTGGCAGCGGTTTGACAGATGTTCAACAAGAACTTTAAGACCCACTCTTCAGCTCGTGCCAGTAATTTCTCTGGTGCCTCTGAATACCTGCTCGTGTTGGCAGGGTATGCTTGTTTGTCAATGCAGCACAACAGGAAAATTTATTTCTACCCAAAGCCTTCTAAACCCTTGTTCCCAGCTCTATTAAAATCTTTCATACGAGGTTTTTTTTTTTAAGCAGTTAGTTGAAAGTGAGGAGAAATATATTGTTAAATACTAAGATGTGTCAGAGCATAATTCAATAGTAAAATAACTTTTGCGTCCTGGGCTAGTGTCCTTGACCTCCATGGAATATGCATTTTGAGGACACAGAATGACACGAACTTTCAATCATTCCAAGTCTCCTCCTCCCGGCTTCTTGAAAGAAGATGCTTGCTTTCACAGAGAGGGTGTTTCTGGTGCACAAACCCTAAATAAGCCATCAATGTTCACTGAAATTTAAAACATCCTCTTGGTTTTTTAAAAAGAGACCTCAACCAGCCTATTTGTGCTTAGTTGATTGGGATATAAGGTGTCAAGATTTGGGAGGATCTGAGTGACAGAGTAGGGTCGTATCATTGTGAGTGAAGTTCCCTTGTGCTAAGCTATTAAGGAGAGAATTGCAAAAATGGTCATCTCATCTTCTTCACATAATCAAATGATTTACCATTTAGAGTGTACTGGATATGGCCTTTGTAAACAGATGTGGGAATTTCGGTGAAGCCCAAGGTCCCCAAAAGAGGCCAAGATTCCCAGCACTCCCTTGGCAGTTCAGTTAGTTACTGTCCTGTCCCACTGTTTGTGTCCTGTTCGGGGGCCACATTGTGACCCTTGCAGAGGAAGAACGTCATTGTTGCTGTCTCTGTGTCTTAATTGATGGTGATGCAGGAGCAACACTGACCCCTGAGGTCACTCAGTGTCCGGGGTGTGCAAATTTGGAGAGAAAGGTTGAATCCTGCTTTTCATCTTTTGTGGCAGGAAGGAGGAAAGAAGAGACAAAAGAGAAAGAAAAGGCGAGAACACTTCCATCCCAGGCCTTAGTTTTGATGGTTGTAACCCCCTAATCATTGTAAAAAGAAAGGAAAAGAGCAGAGATAATGCATAAAGAATACAATAAACTTCCATCTGGTATTGTTTGTTAAGTGTGAAAGTAGTACTGTAGGGGGCTGGGGATTTAGCTCAGCGGCACAGAGCCTGCCTAGCAAGCACAAGGTCGTGAGTTCGATTCCCGGTACTGGAAAACAAACAAACAAACAAAAAAGAAAATAATACTGTAAAGTAGGTTTAAAAACATCAGAAATCCATACTCTCCTTTACCATAATGCTTAAAATTTGTTTTTTCAACTTGATAATATGTAAAAGAACCCCAAATGGTAGTTGCCTTGGTGAAATGAAACAGCTTTTGCTTTCAATATGCCACTTGTAAATATTACATTATTCTGATATTTAGTCACATTGAACGATTCTCCATTTTAAATGTATTTTGTGGGAGAATGGTTAAGACTTTCTAAGACTAAAGATATTCAGAAGAGTGAGGTGAACCAGCTACTGGAAAGGGGTATCAGGATTCTCCTTTGTCCTGCTACTTTGGTTTGAAAGGGAATGAACTGGTCCATTGTCCTCCTTGGGACATGTCAGGTACGGGGGCATTGGACCATTGGTGGGTCTGCATAAGGCTTTCCAGTACCCAAGAAACTGAGACCCTCCAATAAATTAGACATACAGAAAACCTTGGAAAGTATGTATACGTAGCCCTAACACGTCAGAATCTCCATTTTATTGAGCCAGGCCACCAGAAAAATAGCATCCATAACTTATTAACCTCATCTCACCCCTTCCAAGAAGAGAAAGAAAGATCATAGAGAATTCCTCAACATGTGGGAGTCTACAAAATTTTTAAAAAGTTTTTAAGTATAAGAGGCCTGAAGTACAGTGGTCATAAATAGTAATCATTCTAGAAATAAAATTTGTAATTTTTTAAATGAATGAATTAGGTACTTTTTTAGATAGCCCAGTAGGAAGAATTGTGTTCACTCATTAACATAGATTTTATTATTTTTAAATAAGATCAATGTGTTATTTATTGGAATAAATTGCTCAAGGTTCCTGATTAAGCTAAGAGGTGTGACTGATTAGAATGTCTATTCTTTGAGAAGCAACAATAAATTACCATGAGATTCAAAGGCGTCTGTCACAGAAGACCTCTGAATCACGGCTGTGTGTCTCCTTTGATGGAACGACACATGGGGTAGCTGATTTAAAATATAGTAGTGTCCCACATATGATTCCAGACCAATACACATAATAACTTGGCTTTATTGTATTGTGACATTTAGAGGACTCCGTCTGTTAGGATTTTATCCCAGGGGCATAAAAATTTGAGATTGAAAGCAAAATAACAAGCACCTAACTTGTGCATATATTAGGTAGTGTCCATACATTTGCTACAACTATAAAAGAAACAGAGGAAGCAAATCAGACTGTCTGGCTCTAATTCTCTATTGAGGTGCATATACATATATAATGCCATCCAATATACTGCAGATAAAACGAGAGGAAAAATGTTTTGTAACAGTTGGTCACCACGGCATTGTAGCTGACAGTTACAGATATTGAATAGAGCTACGACTACACACATGGAACAGTA